GTGAATCCATTGACAAAATCCATTGAAGAAGCGTATACTCCTCAGTTTCAGTCAATTTATGGTTGTTTGCGCGCATATCATGGCGATTGGTATGGCCAGCTAGACAGCGGCGGAGCGTAGCCTCAGGCACGCTAAATCAGCGCGCTGCTTCGCGCACAGAAGTAATTTGATATTTTTGAATAGCTTCAATAGCTAACAAGACCCTACCCTCCTGCTCGATTGATTTTTGGGAGGATTGAGAGCGATTTGGTGGCATGGTAGGCAATAAAAAAATGATTAAGATGGTTGGGTGAGATTCGGTTGGATGGTGCGTCGCTCGCTTACATGCGTCGCTCGCTTACCGACCACGTTAGTTAGTTAGTTATGTAGTTACTTCTTGGCTGAGACTGACTGATTGTTGGACGTTGGAATGTACGAAACTTTTTAGAGTTATCTCAGGTCGGAAACAAACTCCATGTGAGAAACGAATTCAGACTGCTTCCCTGAGGTGAGAAATCACATGTTGGAAAGCAGTATCCTGGGCCGTATCAACCAGCGCATGAGAAAGGTGACCAGCTGGGAGTTCACAATCGCAAGCAGGGTTATAGTTGCAAATACCATCGCCCTTGGTCAAGAGGTCAGTGTAAATGTCCAGATGACTAGTGAACATCGATATAGACTCACTTGAAGACAATAGTCGAGCACTTTTCTATTACGGCGACGGCGTCGAGAGCCTTGTTGTTGAGTTGGTTTAGACATTGAGCATCAACGTTGCGCCTTGCGAGTAGCCAAACAAGCCGTATTTCTGGTACGAATCTCTCGCCGGAAGTCGTATTCGGAGGCTAACACCACCAGATACGCTGTCAAAGGGTCTTCTGGATCAAGGTATAAAACATGGTCGAAACACCTTGGGGCTCAACGGTGCCACGCGCGTCAATGAGCTCTGTTCGCTGTCAGTAGCTTTCCTTCATCTGGGTAAATATAAACCAACTGTAATCATGGCACTGGCGAGCCTCCTCTGGAGGGGGTGTGATATTGGCATGAAGGGGGGAGGAGAGGAACTGCGACTGTCCGCATTGGCATTCAAAGGACTGGACAAGAGACTCTGACCCGAATGGCGAAGCCTAGGCCAGAGCCCATGGGGCGGTCACCAAGAGGGCACAGTATGTCGCAAGCATGGTGCTGGTACAGATGGTACTAAAACTGAGGGTCAGAACTGCGCGTTTTCGACATTTATGGTCACCTTTTCCGAGCACCAGTCTGCTCGTCATGAAGTATTACAAGTGGAACCTGATCAATGATAGCAATTTATCCTGGGGGGGGGGGGGACAGTTATATCGAAAAATGGTTGATCGGCACGGAGTATAGACCTGTCCGATATATATATGTATATCTGTGTTGCGGATGTAGTGACCCATTGACGGACGGTTATAGATCTCCGCCCAATACTATCATTTATCAATCATACTTGTAGTCTGACAACCCCCTTCTATGCTTACCTCGTGCTCCAACTGTATACTTTATTTCAAATCTTGTGGTATACTCTGCCGACGTGATGCCTTGATGCCTGAGTGATGTCATGCATCACGTGTCGCAACCACTGGGTTTGAATCAAAAGTTAACTGCAGACATGAAGCTGCACGACACGTTGTTCTCTATTTGACCGCTCCTCACCTCACAACTTCATTTCAATTATCGATTCGATGTGATCTCGCGGGGTATCCCAACACACCAAGATGGCACATTCCCCAGAGTCCTCCAGCCGGGTTCGAGAACTCGAACACAGAGAGGCTAATATTCTCTCCAAACACCTCGATCCCCAGTACACCGGCTCTTACGATGAAGGATCACCGCTCCGGGTTGACCCAGACGATAGTTCAGGGCCCTCACGCAGTACCGATACCCCCGACCAGCTCTCCTCGCTCCGGCTCCAGGGTGGTGACATCCACCGTGACCTATACCGGATCGAGGCGAAAGCGAAACACCCGCACCGACGAACGAATACCTTCTCATATATCCCCCGAGATTCCGAAGACTTGATTGAAGACGGAGCCGCTGCCAACGAGCCGGGCAATTTCAGGCGTCATTTCCTTCGACAAAGGCATGAGTTGGACCCCGAGACGGTGCCGTCATCATTCCTCGACTTCTTGGATTTATACGGCAGCTTTGCTGGAGAGGACCTCGCAGAATCGGAATATGAGTCGGCAATAACGGATGAGGAGGAAGGACAACCGGGGGAACGCAGGCCTTTGCTTGGACGCCGGAAGAGCGCGCGAGCAGCACGCCGCGGCGATGCGTCCAGTGTTCGGACGTTCTTCACCCTACTCAAGGCCTTTGTGGGTGCGGGCATCATCTTCTTGCCGAGAGCATTTCGCAATGGAGGGATTTTATTCTCATCCATTACCCTGGTCACGGTAGCAATCGTCAGTACACTGTGCTTCCATCTGCTGTTGCAATGTCGGGCAAAGTATGGTGGTGGATATGGTGACATTGGCGAGCAAATATCAGGACCTCGGATTCGGACGCTCATTTTGGCGTCGGTCGCGATCTCGCAGCTGGGATTCGTTTGCGCTGCCATGATCTTCACCGCTGAGAATCTCCAGGCGGTCTTTGAGGCTGTCGCAATTCCTGCAGGCATGTTCGGCTCGACTACAAGTCTGATCCTGATTCAGCTGTTTGTCCTCATTCCCCTGGCATTCATTCGAAACATATCCAAGCTTGGACCGAGCGCGCTCTTGGCCGACGTTTTCATTCTTTTCGGACTTGGATATATTTACTACTATGATATCGCCAGCATCGCGTCTCGTCGTGGCTTGCACCCGACTGTTGAGCTCTTCAACCCAAACTCGTTCACACTCACAATCGGTTCTTCCATCTTCACGTTTGAAGGAATCGGGTTGATTCTCCCTATACAAGCGTCCATGAAACAACCTCAAAACTTCGACATGCTCCTCTATACGGTCATGACCATTATTACCATTCTGTTTACGGCGGCGGGTGCTCTTTCTTACGGCACTTTTGGCGTCGAGACCAAGACTGAAATTCTCAGCAATCTCCCGCAGACTGATAGGCTTGTCAATACCGTCCAATTTCTGTACTCCCTTGCCATCCTGGTGGGCACGCCCGTGCAGCTTTTCCCGGCCGTGCGTATCATAGAAGGCAAGCTTTTTGGATTGGCGTCCGGTAAAGGTGATCCGTCGATCAAGTGGAAGAAAAACGTGTTTAGAACGTGCGTGGTATTATGCTGTGCCGTCATCGCCGCCGCTGGGGCTGGAGACTTGGACAAGTTTGTCTCGTTGATTGGCTCCTTTGCCTGCGTTCCGCTGGTCTACATCTACCCGGCATACCTGCACTGGAAGGGAGTGGCAGAGTCCCGGTGGGTGAAATACGGCGATCTGACCATGGCCGGAGTGGGCTTTTTCTTCATGGTTTACACTACTGTGGCCACTGTTTCTGTTTGGATTCACGGAGAGAACCCGTGAGTCTGAAGAAGAGCTCCATCTCATTTCCCAGTCCGTAATCTGTTTCCTTTTTTACTACGCCTGATATAATTCTATAATGCCTGACCACCCTATGCGAATGTACTTTAGATACCCAGAAAACTACAGCTATGAATAATGCCAGAGATGTTTTTGATAGTACACAGAAATCCAACCATGCCCGATGGGGAATAGTTCCTTGCGCTAATCCCAAATAGGCAGGCGAGAACCACCGCGTCTTCATCTCGAACTCGAGAACTCGACCACCGTCTTCCCCTCAACTCTTGCCGTCAAGAGTCGTCTTGTCGCTTCAGGTCCTACTATTATGTACAGCATACTGCCATGATGAGTGCAATGACAGCGGATTGCGCCCTCAAAGTGATTGAGTTCGAGGGACGGTGGGGAATGACACCATGACTACGCCAGATCCACGCGAACCCAGTGAGTTCAATCGCTGGATGTGACCAAGGCCACTGCAAAGCGACATCCATTATGCAAACGACTCAATGGTCCCGATACGGCAATACGGGCGAGTTTGGAGAGACTGGACAGTTCACGTCAATTCACCGGTAACCGTCTGAAGTCGCTTATGGGATAGCTGCGAAAGGCTACCACGAGGAACGATGAAACAGGAGACGCTTTATACACACATGACTTGCTCTTATGGTGGAGATCCCCGTCCTGATATGGTACCGGCGGATCCGATCTCACTCATTGATAGCCGATCGTCTATCAACCACGGATCCAGGCTATTGAATGACGATTGCAACCCTCTAAATGAGCTGGATACTGTGGCAGTGACTGGTACTTCGGAGAGGATCGAGCATGTCAAAGGCCCTGTCTGTTCCTGCTGGACGAGGAGAAGTAGATGAAGTGCATGATGTCAGGGAACCACATCCAGACCCTTTTACCTATTTAACCCTCAATTTCTTAATCCCAGGGCTTTCCCCCCCCCTTGATATTATTACTCTTCGCACCTGCTACTACTATTTTCGAGACATGCTCATGTTGTGAAGCAGTACAGCATGTCTTCCACCGACATAACCGGCAACATCACTGTCGCCGGGAGTCCCAGCAAGGTTCCAATCCTCCGGGAGAGACTCCAATCGATTTCTCAGGAATACAAGACCCGAATTGGCTACTCCACCCACGATATTAGCTCCAAATGCACGACAGTCGACACCTTCTTCGATACGATTGCTGTTGAACGACTTCGTCGCATGCCTCGGGATGGCAGCCGTTTGGATGCCGTCCTCCGACGGGCGTCGCGGTTCGCTTTCGCAGTGAGCTCGCTATACGATGCTGTCCTTGGCATTGTATCCGCGGCAAGCGAGGCTGCCTCGCTCATTTGGGGAACAGCCTTGATCCTACTAGAGGTGAGTTGTACTTGAAAATGCTGGACATGATTTGATACTGATATACGCCGCTGTAGATGGGTATCGACCAGCCAGGTAGTCTTGAAGGTATCTTCGGCCAATTTGGTCGGGTAACCATGGGTATCTCCTTCTTGCTACAGGGTGAACACTACTTCAGGACCCCTGGTGTTGCTCATGAAGTGGCTGAGATTTACGCGGACCTGGTCGAACTGGTCAGCCACGTCACCATGGAATACAACGATGCACCCAAGGCTCAGGACGGGGAGACGATGAACGAGAACATTAACGAGGCGTTCTATCTGTACTTCAACCGATTTAACATGCATTGGCGACGGATCACCAAGGCCATCATGACCAGCCAATACGATACCACGCTTGATATTCCCGCGATTTACCAATTTCTTGACTTGCAGGATCGTCCTCTGCAGATGATCCTCGAAGGCCATAGCCACGCTCTGGCTGACGGTTCCTTCTCATGGTTCGATTCGGATTTGGCCTCGTTTGCCATGAGCGATCACGATGTGCTTGCCGTGACGGGCGATCCCGGGACTGGTAAAAGCGCACTGGCCCAATGGACTGCCGAGCGGTTGCAGGTCTCGGCTGAATATGATGTTTGGAATGCCATCTCGTTCCCGATTCGTGAGTTTTCATCTATTTCAATGTTGTGATGGACCGTTTGCTGATTGACGTCTCAGGTGCCGACGTGCCGATCACGGAGCTGTCTTTGACTGTCCTCAAAGGCCTGGTACACCAGATGCTTGACAGGTCAATCAATGACCCCAACGCCCAGAAGGCCATTCTGGAAGCTACCACTAGAGCGGTTGTCACTGCGTCTGCTGCCGCGCCCGACCCTCAAGTAGAGGACGTACTCTGGACAGCCGTCGAAGCGGCTCTGACGTCCAACATCCACTTCATGATCGTCATTGATGGTTTGGACCAGATGAGAAACGCCGATGCGAGCGCAACACGCTTTCTCAGTCGCCTCGAAAACGCCATTTCCAGCCCACGTACCCCGTCCAAGCTGATCGTTTTCAGTCGAGCTCTCCCGACCGAAGTCGACCTTTCCAACGCCCAATTTCTGACCATGGACACTTCTAAGACCGGAGACGACCTCAAAGTTGCGGTGTGCGACATGATGTCTCTCGACTCTCAGCTCCACGGCCTTGACGCCGCCAACACGGAGACTATTGCGAAGGCCATTGTCTCTAATGCTCGGGGCTCGTTTGTTTGGGCGCAACTGGCAGTACAATATATCGGACAGCACAAAACAGCAAGCGAAATGCTTTCTGCTGCCCGGAAAGCGCCCAAATCCGTGGACGACCTGGTTGATAGCCATCTGAATGCCATAGACCTTGATCAACAGGAGGCTAGGCTCATCATTGCCTGGCTTGCGGCATCAGAGCGGCCATTGCAAATCCAGGAAGTCAAACAGCTGCTTACTATCGACACCAAGGGGCCTAGCTTTGTCTCTCGCGTCACTAGTCCCGGGAAGGAGACATTCCGGCCAGTGAACTCGCTCATCACGACACGCGATGGATTTGCGGCGTTCCGGCATCACATTGTCCGGGAGCGCGTTCGCCAATTGGCTGATTCGATGGAGGGCGATTACTCCAACCAGGGCAAATTCCCGTTCAACATGCAGGAGGCACACTACGAACTCCTGGTCCGATCGTTGGCCTGGGTCAAATTCTGCCTGAAGGAAGAGGTTGACATCTCATTCGACAAGATGGCTGTGGACAAGCGAGACGCATTCCTCGAAACCTATACGCTTCTGGAGTACACTTCGCGCTACTGGTACTCACACCTGCTCTCTTCTCCGTTGGTCAGCGCGGATGGAACGTTCAACTTTGTCGCACCTTTCAAGCGGGCCCTGCCGGAGTCGGTTCTATTTGTGCTTTTGGAACTGACAAGCCGCGAGTCGCAGTTCAGCCGCTCTAGTATCCTGGAACTGTATCGTGTCTCCGTCGACGTCCGCCAAGGCGTCCTGGGTCAGAAATCGAAGACTCTCCTGCAAAGTTTGATTTTCAGTGGCCGTGCTTTGCACAAGGCAGATGCCGGCGTTGTGAACGATCATCTCTATGAAGCATGGCGGATGAGCAATGCCATCCTGGGTACTAGGTCTTCCGTTACAATCTCTCTGGCAGAGCTCATCGCAAGAACCGTCCGTGCCAGCGAGTGGGACGACGCGGCTGCCGCCCGAGATGAGACCTACCGCCGCCGAGCAGAGGCTCTTGACCACTTGGTGTCTGTGGACGCAGAAGGCTCTCCCTTGGGCTTCAACCGCCGCTTCGGTTACTTGGCCGTATTGGTCAAGTTGTACAAGGACAGCAACGAAGAGGACGCAGCGTACGGCGTTTCGCGGCAATTCTACCAGAACTCTGTGCACAGATATGGCTCTCACTCGCTTGAGAGTGGCAAGGCGGCTGATTTCTTGACGCATCACTTCGAGATCTCCGGCGACGATGACATGGCCCTCACCCTCGCTCGCACCAAGTACGAAAACATGGTTCGGACCTTGCCTGCCACGGATGATCGCCGCATCGCCTACACCTTGTACATCGCACGCCTCTACGAACAGCAGAACCAGCCCGACCAGGCAGAGGGAATTCTGGCTAGCTTATGGGCAGGTTTGTTGGCGCACGATGCGACATCGGCATCCACCTGGGACAAGAGGACCAAGGTGGCATTGGTCTACTACCAGTTCCTGCGCCGCCACGGACGCCCTGATGAGGCCGAAGTTGTCATGCGTGATCTCTCTGCGGACATCCAGACGGATGGTATTCATTCCCCCGAGATGTTGGAGCGAGCCGAAACACTCCGCAACGAAGCTCGTGAGATGCAGCTTACCGACATGGAGCGCATGCTGTCTGTCATCATTTGGAACTACTACAAGCGTGCCGGTCTCGAATACACCCCTCAGGCCGTTACATTGGCCGAGCAATTGGTGGCAGGAACGACTAAAGCCAACTACAAAAATCTGGCCGCGCTCTCCACCAAGGACCGTCTCCTGCTGCACCAGCTTCTTGACTCTATGGCCTCTGGAGAGAATCTCTCGGTATCGAATCTGATCCTGAGTCACAACCTTGCCGCTGTCCACATCCGTGACGAGGAGTGGCTTGAAGGCAGCGACTGCGCGGGTGCGGTTCTCAAACACACCTGGCCGATGGTTGACAGCGCGGATTCCGACTCGAAGTTCCCCTCTGACCGAGCGCCGCACATGGCAAACCTGGCCTTGGACATGGCCTACTGCTCGTTCCGTCGTATGAACGTTCCCAAGGCTTCCGTTGTCTACGGGAATGCTTTCAAGGCATCCATCATCGCTGATAAGGTGTCTGTTCCTTCCATCACCGCCGTCGTCAAGACGGTGGTTGAGTTCTACGAAAACACCTTCCAGTACGCGATGGCATTGGTTGTCCTGCGCCAAGTCAGCCAGTTCTTCCTGTCACGTCTTGGTGTCTCAGACAAGCACACTATGGACAGCCTGTACCACCAGGGAGACCTCGCAACGCGGCTCGAGCATCACGACGACGCAGAGAACAGTTACGGCACGATCTACGATGCCAGTCTCCGTGATGGGAAGATCAGGTCAACCGGTATCCGGGCTGCGGTTGCGCTTATCGCTCTTTATGAATCGAACAAACAATGGGACTCGGCATTGGGAGTCTATCGCCATCTGTGGCCTACACTCATCCACTTCGACGAGAAGGATGGATACGACCGCGCTTTGTTGGAAGGCCTCTTGGAGAAAACGTATAACGGATACATGGCGATTCTCGAAACGACGGGCAAGTCGGAGAACTACTCGGAGCGGTACCGTGTCGCCTCTGAGCATCTGCGACTTTGCAAGAAGATCCACGGCCCTTCGCACGACATGACGCTCAGGGCCACGCTCGGATTAGCTGGTGTCTGCGAAGAAGGCGAACAACACCTGGACGACGCCATTCAGCTTTACCAGCAGGTCTTGAGGGTCAACGAATGGGTCCCGTCGTCTCAAGCCTCCCGTGCTTTGCCTGACATGTCGCTGACGTTGCCTATCACGACCAAGCACAAACTGGCTCAGCTCTATTTGCGAAAGAAGTCCAGGTCTCCCGAAGCCGGATCTCTGTACGCGGAGGAAATGGCGCTTTCAAAGCAGCGACACGGCCATTCGTCCACTTCCGCTCTGTCGTGGCTGCGTCAAATTGCTTTGTTCTTTGCTTTACAGGACTCCACGGACTCCTGGAATCGCGGGGCTACCACCCTGCGCTCTCACGCCCACGAAACAATCGAAGTCACCAATCACCAGGAGACGTTGGTGGACCGGGCTCGCCGGCTGGCGGAGATTTACTTGGAGTGCGGCTACATCGACGCGGGCAACAACTTGATCGACGCCCTGCGCCAGCAGGTGGTGTACGAGCGCCCCGAGTCACAGAGATCGCTGAATACGTATCAACCCGCCATATTCGTTGCTGCCTTTGAAGAATACTTCCGGAATCGCCAGTCGTTCAGCCAGATCTTGGATGAGCTTAGCGAGGAGAGCTCCGTGTTCGGATCGTTTGAACAAAGCTTGTCGAGCCACGATCTTGTCCCAACACTGACCTCTGGTGAGAAGCTCCATCGGGCGCAGACCGAGCAAAGGCGAACAACTACCGCCAAACAGACCCAGTCGAAACTGTACGCCTATTTCTGCAACACCCTATCAATCTCGCATCTCAAGCAAAAGGACGTCATCCGCCAATTTTACAATATCTGCCGCCGGGAGGTCTTGTACGAGGACTACAACACAAACATTATCGCGGCTACTATTCACGAAGTCAAGAGCCTTTGCGACAGTTTGCGATTCCAGGAAGCCGCTGACCTGGCTGGCGCCTTCCACTCCTTCGTTCACTTGACTGAAGGTCTGCGAACCTACGAGAGTATCCTGGCTTCCATCAAGATCTGTCTGTACCTCAACGGTTACAACACCGCCAAGTGCACCGACGAGAAGGTTGCGAGGAATATGTCGATCGAGTCCAAGTTGCTCTTGCAGGAAATCATGACGAACGCACAGGACATCAACGTTCAGTTCTCCGAATTGCCGTTCGCTGAGCTTAACGACTTGGTTACGATTTTAGGAGAGCACGAACTATTTGAGGATCTGGAGGTATGTTTCTCTCTCGCATATGTTTGTTTCGGGTTGTTTACTGATCGATTTTACCAGGTTATTTTGACCGATCTATGGACCTCTCGTATCGTCCAGCGAACATGGACCCTGAATGTCGTTGTCTGGATCGGGCGTCGTCTGGTGGAAACTCGTTACTGCCGGGACAACGTTGACGGCGCCATTAAGCTCGGTCGCGATATCTGCTACAATTTGCGTCAGGTCTGGGGTAACTGTGACCCCGTTACCTTCGACATGAATACGTTGCTGTCCGGAATGTATACGGCGTCCGGCAACTACCGCGCCGCGGTCGCTCTCCACGAAACTGCCCTGAACGAACTGCTCAACGACCGTGACGCGGTGCATGACGAGAGCGCTGCTGAAATCGCTTCGCAGCACCTGGAACTGCTCACACACGCTCAGGCTCGCCGCCAGAAGGGATCGTCAACTCCAGCTGGCGAGACGCGGGCGTATTCCGAATTGGTGAAGCAATTGTCGACCAAGTTCAACATCTCAGCACCCGCGTCGCAGGATGTGTCCGCGACGGATGACGATGTTGGCGTGTGGCATCGTCCTCGTCGATTCAGCCTTGATGTCCAGGAGGAATTCGAGCACCAAAACCATCTCCGGAACTCGAGTGGTGCAACGATGCTGAACGGAAATGCCGGGGCCAAGCGGATTTCGGTTGCTGCCCTGTAAAGAATGCAAATTACCTGTCGGATGCTAATTATTTCGTCTTCTGATATAACTTATTATAGTTAGTGACTTTTAATAGTAGTATAATGAATGGTTTATCTTTTCCGTATACATATACACCTTCTATGCCGAGTCGATCACCGCCGACCCCGGACCGACCGGTAACCGGGCGGAACCTTAAATCAAGAACCCTAAATTTGACATGAATTGTTTAGGAATACGCGCGAATGTCTATACGAGACTCTCGAATGCCTCTACTACGGACGTCTCTAGAGAACTACATACCAATTGCGCTATCATCGGCGCCATCATCGCCGGCCTCGAACCACATTCTTAGTCCACGACGACGGTGATTCAACACAAGCAATCGATCACCAAATCGTTTCCATATGAGCATGTATTTCCTTGCTGCTTCTCTACGCCAAGCCTACAATAAACAACAAGGCTGTCTTGGCCCTTCGTCAATTGCGGTCTGATGACAATATGGGCTCCACAAGGTCGAGGAATTCGTTGACGCGTACTATGCACGCCGTCCTTCCCTGCCTTTCCAATTACCAGCTGCTGTCCAGCCTTCTAGAGCCTGCCAAGAACTCCTTGTTCCCTGTTTCATGACCGACAGTTGCGTCTTTCAGCCTCCTATATACTTGGTGGGTGAAACGAGAGAAGAGAAATAGAAAAGATCATCCGGTTGACAATCGTTGGCTAGCTGAGTCTGATGTCATATATCAGCAAGGAGAGATTCTGTGCTCCTTCTACAGAGTGATCGATGCACTATATTTCGACACCGGGACTTGGCAAGAACGGAGCGAACGGGGGATCTCCAGGATGTACTTCCATAGCACCATGTGAGCTGCCGGTATTGTTTAATTGGTATGTCGGGGCTGCAATATGCATAGTATAGCTGAGCCAAGCAATCGGCTAGCTCCATGCAGTACGTATGCATGCCCCTATGCCTTGATTATGGAAAATCATAACGTCCCCAATTATGGAAGGAGCAAGTAAGGGATCTGCTCCTGATCTAAGATCTGTCCTTCACCGGCCATCCACATCCACGGACCGGTGCTTGTTTATGCAGGAGTCCCAGTTAGTCGGTATGTTTGTATAGCGTAGAAGACGTACATATAGCACATAGCATGGAGTATATATTGTCGGCCTGTCTTATCGTGATGTCGCTGTAATCAGCAAATCATTCCTTCGTTTTCGAACACCAGTACTTTTCTTGTTGATCAATTTCAGATATACCTTTTTATTATCGGAACTGTCTGATGCCTTCTACGATGCCTAGTCGGACCACTCCGTCCACGGACAATATCGTGGTGATCGGAGGTGGTGCCAGTGGTCTTGCTGTAATTCTTCAGCTGGTCAAGCGGTTTCGCGCCGGAAAGCCCGTGCGAAAGATCACGTTGATCGAGAAGAATGACGAGGCCGGCCCCGGATTGGCGTACTCGCCTGATTGTGCCGGTACGATCCTCAACATGACCAAATCCACCATGGGGCTGTATCCGGACAACCCCAATCATTTCAACGAATGGAAAAATGATCCGAATCTGAAACTGTACCCTTTCCGTGAGAGCTACGGAGACTACCTCCGCGCCATGTGGTCTCAATCTGTGGAAGATGTCCGACAGATGGGAGGTGAAATTTCCTTTATCCAGGACGAAGTCCAGGATATCAACCGCGACGACGACGGCACCTTCACCCTTACCCTCCAAAAGAACGCCAAGACCCTGTTCGCAAAGGACGTTGTGCTAGCGGTGGGAAACTTTACTGTGACGGCGAACCCTCACCTTAGTCACCTCCCGGGCTATTTCCCTTCGCCTTGGCCCACAACCAGATTGATGTCCCTCCCGGTAGACGCCCCCATCATCATCCTCGGCTCTCGCCTATCCGCCATTGACGCTGCGAATGCCCTCGTCGACAATGGTCACCGTGGCCCCATTACCTTTATGTCGCGCAGCGGCCGACTTCCCAAGGTACAGGGGGCACCGGTCCCTTTTCCGCGTCGGCACAACCTCTACACTCTTGCCAAACACGTTCATGCTCCGACGCGCGTGGGGGCTTCCTTTGCCAGTCTCATGAGTGGTATCATGGAGGAGGTCTCGCACTTGGCCGGAAACGATTGGAGCTGGCTGCTTCAGAATCACGACTGCCCAATGGAGGAGTTGGAGTCCGATATCAAGGATGCGCAAGAGGGCAGAGCTGGATGGCAAACTGTCCTGCGCAGCACGGCGCCGCTTGTCGAGCGCTATTGGCGTTCTCTTGAGATGCACGACAAAAAGCTGTTCTACGACAAGTTCTACAGCTGCTGGATGCGGTACCGACACGGGATGCCTGTCGAGAACGGGGAGAAGATTCTGAAGATGATGAAGCGAGGCCAGCTGAAAGTCGTCAAAGGGCGAGAAATCGAGTCGAACGGGAACGGCTTCTTTGCCAACACGTCCGAGGGCAAGATCGAAGCATCCTATGTGGTCGAAGCTACCGGTCAAGAATGCCGAGTCACTCACGCTCCGTCGCCGCTCATCCAGGCCACGATGCGTAAGGGGATGGCCACTCCTCACCCGCTGGGCGGTTTCGTTGTGAACTTCGACACCCTTTCAACATCTCCTGGCCTGTACACCATTGGATCATTCACACAGGGTACTCACTTCTATGTGAGCTCCGTCGACCGCATTGCCGAGCATGCATCCCGCCTTGCCGATTCGCTGACCGGAGAGCCTTTGGCGCGGCCCTTGCACGTTGCTGTTTTCCTCCGAGGAGACCCCTTCTCCCACATTATGGCTAGTAAATTGGTCCCTCGACTTCTTGCTGCGGGTCACATGCCGTTCCTATTCGTGCTGCCCGCAGGCAAGAGCCCCGCCACCGGGACGACCACATCTGTCCGTGCACGACAGCTTGCATTTTTCGAAAGGGCGCTCATGCAGCAACACGTTATCCCGTTCCTCAAAGATACCCCTCAGAATGGCGCTGAATGTCAGTCTCTTGACCAGATGAGATCCACGTATGGAATTCTCGTACAAGAGGTCGACCTCGCCCCCTCCGAGGAAACCCTCCACAGACACTACATCGATGTCGGCCTTTCTCTCGACTGCACGACCACCCGTCACTTGTCGACAGATATTCAGAACTATTTCTCTTGGCCACGTCGGCTGCTACATCTGCACTCCACCGCCAGTCTGAACGCCGATCGTTCACCGTACCATTTGCATGACACGCAGGACTGCTGTGATCGAGACCAGTTCGATCTCCACACCCTTTCGATGGAGTATTCCCAGCCAATGATTGGCTCTCGGAATCGCACCTGTGCTCTTGGGGTGGACTTGGCCGCTGACCTGGTGGACCGTGTTTCTCGGGGTAAGGACCTCCCCAAGGCATTGCGGGCAGCGAACACGCCGAACACGAAGGAAGTCAACGGTGGACAGCAGAAGGACCTTCCCAAGGTTAGCACAGATGATTTGATAGAGACGGTAGTCAAGTCGTATGCCTCCCCAGAACAACAAGGACATTTCCGGAAGCACCTCGCTGGAGTTGTGAAGAGCTGGTCGGAGGAAGGGAATTCGAAGGAATCTGGGAAGGAGTCTGGGAAGGAAAACCGTTTATGTGTTGAATGTCATTGATATATCATAATAGAGCAGAGATAGAGAACGCGAATAGTTAATATTTTTCAACGAAGAAAGTGCCGTAGCGTTCGATATCCCAACCCCCCCCCCCCAGGTTCTATTTTCTTTATTTGAAGCTCTTCCTCTAGTATTATGCGTGATTCCGGAGCGTGAAGCAGAGGGTTTGGCTACTCGCAGAGAGCGATACTTAAAATAAAGTCTTCACCAATCGTCTTTCGAGTGGGCTGCTCAAAGCTATATATAACTATACAAGAGTCATATGTTTTATCTACCTCATACGTGTTTATTGGGTTACGCAGTGAAACTTTACGAGAGAATAGATAAATAAGAATACGTTGTTCCATTCCATTTCACCATAAGCAGGACCTGCCTGGCCATTTGAAGCTAGCTAATATCATAACTTAGACCACGGACTCGAAGTAAGTGGTCAGGAGGTCCTCCTTGACAGGGACGGCAACAGCCTTGAGAGCCTTGTGTGCCTCGCAGTCGTTGTCGTAGTATCTCATGTCGTCCAGCGACTGGAAGGTCATTTTGACGGACAGGTTGTAGCCGTGGGTACGAGGGTCATCGAACGAGGCTCCGACGGCGGCGTTGCTGATGTAGGGCTTGCCGTCCTATACCGATTCGAAAACACCATCGTTAGCACTCAAATCGCTTCCTGGTACGATAAAGGTAGCCTTACCTTGGTGGCGGACTTGACCAGAACCTTGAACTGCTCAAGGACACGCTGACGGTCGTCGTTGTTGGGGATCTTGAAGAGGGTAACACGTTCGATGACAGCCATTTTGGAGAAGTTGATAGAAAGAGATTCTTTGCTTTGGTTTAAGATCGAAGAAGAAGCGATGGATGGAGAGTGATGCTGAGAATTGAGAGACTGATCGAAGGGACGAGGTGACCCTTAAATAGCCCATCGTCTATGCTCAGCGCTCCAACGAAGCTATGTTCTTTTGCACCTGCAATCCTTGACCGACTATCTCAGTTATCGTTGTCTGACCTCATATCTGGACTATCAATTGGGTTGTCATGCATGGCATGTCGAATTCCACCCTTATCGTCTGTGTATCCAACACACGCATGCAGACGCAGCAAAACATGATGATGTGTAGGACTCAGGATCATCTGCGGCTGCCGTAAATAATCGTCATAGGTTGATTTAGTCACACCTCTCTATTGGCGCCAAGATCAATGAGCATCAAAATATGCAGGATGCGGCACCTGCATGCATCAGCTCTAATGCAAGGCTCCCCCCCCCAAACTTAGAACTACGGAATGTGATACTGCAGCGAAGCAAGGCTGATATATTGCGTACTGCATTTATCATTTATGTAGGGTTGGAGACGTTCCAAGTACCTCGCTACTTGTTGTGGATCAGAAAATACCGGAGGCTCGACTTGCGTTGCGGATTGTCCGCGAAGAAGGGATGACTATGTCAAAGACTCTTTGCGACAGATATCGATATGAAGCGGAAAGTAGGCTCCGGGACCCTTCCAATTTTCTCAAAATTTCCGTCAATCTATTCCAAGGAGAATCGAATGCCTCGACACAAAATGGTCGAAGGAAGATGTGATACGCCCAGTTGAATAATGGCGAAATATCCGGAGGCCGGCTCTGTGTACTAGGACCTTGGAAAAAGGAGACGAAGAAAAAGAAATGAGGATGTCTTTTATCTTGTTTCAATTGTCGACGATGAAACCCACTCTACTACATTGGATCTTGTTCAATATTAACTCCGGCGTTGAGAATAATTTGCTAGCCTTCGGGAGGGGTGTTGTTTATGACCCCTGTCTTTGTTTGTCTCTCTAAGAATCCACTCGGGCGAGGAACGCGATTTCCAATATGCCAGAAAAAGCGAATAAAACGTTTTTGCCGTCATCACCGTGCAAGAATGGCCATCCAGTAGTCAACGAAACAGACACTTTACTCCCGATGCCAGCGGTCGTTTCCTCTCACAGCAGTCTGCTCGGAGACTTGGGTCGGTGCCAGGGTTTCTCGAGGCAGGAGACCAAGTATCTCTATCTCGAGTTCGATACGGCCCTCCCGACTCCGCGAATTGCATTGCCCCCGGGACCTGGGCAACTACCACCACCGGAACAACCATGCCTGAAGAAATATACTTCTCCGTACCTCTGGCCGAAATGGCGCAAGTCAATGCTGACCTGCATCTCATGTATCTCGACAGCGATAGCCGGTTATTCCACTGGTGAGATTAGTCCGGCATCGGAAGAATTAATGAAACAATGGGGCATAAGCAGCGTGGTGTACAATCTGGGAATCACAATATTCTGTATCGGGTTTGCGCTGGCGCCTATGGTAATCGCACCGTTCTCCGAGGTCAATGGGCGTCGTCCTGTCTTCATCGCAAGTGGGATTTTGTTTACTGGTAGGAAGGAACCCAATGTCCGGGGTCTATAGAGAGGGAACTGACGTGTGGATCCCTGATATACAGCGAGTACGATCGCTTGTGGCAGCTCTCGCATATTTGCCGGGCTTTTGGTTGCTCGTTTGATCCAAGGAGTGGGCGCATGTACGGATAACCTACGAATTCCCTCTATCGAAAGCACCTGTGCTAATATGCTGCAGCTACGTTCGCAACCGTGGTGGGCGGCGTGATCAGTGACTTCTACGAGGCAGAGGACAGGAACACACCAATGGCAATATATTCCGGAGGCGCGCTTTTTGGCACCGGTCTCGCTCCACTGATATCCAGTATGATCGTATACCACACATCGTGGCGCTGGGTGTACTACTCCCATGCCATAGCGGCCGGATGTCTGGTCGTTCTCATGCTCCTCTTCTTCAAGGAAACGCGTGGAAACGTAATCTTACGCGGGAAAGCTCAAGCGTTGAACAAATATTACGATCAATTGGAAGAGGCAGGGCATATTGGGGTGATGATAAGTGACAAGGACGAAGCTTGTCGCATTCGATGGAAGGTTCAAAGCGACGAACAGCGCGCCTCACTCACCCAAATGATTCTTACTTCTTGCTATCGTCCTTTCAGTGAGCTGTCCTTTATATTCCCACCGATTTGTATACTCGGATTCTCATGGTCTAGATATGCTCGTTACCGAACCCGTGGTTTTTTTCTTCTCCCTTTGGATTGCGTTTAGCTGGGCAGTTCTCTATCTCCAGTTTGCTGCGGTTCCATTGGTTTTCGCGACCAACCATGGCTTTAATATCCAGCAGACTGGCGCTGTCTTCACCTGTATGTGCAATCAATCGTATGACCCTTTTCTCTGCCATGTCCACTGACCTGTGTCCAGCGATCTGTGTTGGCGTCATCCTCATGACTTCCATAAGTATCGTTCAGGAAAAAATAGCCTCCCGCTTCGGCATCCTTCCCAAATCTGCTGAAGGTAGATTGTACTTTGCCTGTGTTCAGGCTGCCCTTTTGCCTGCCGGGCTATTCTGGTTTGGATGGACCTCGTATCCATCGATACCCTGGATCGTGCCCACAATAGCCGTTGGGTGCGCAACCATGGGCATTTATTCAGTCTACCTGGCAGTGTTCAATTACCTGGCAGACACCTATCATCGCTATGCCAGCTCGGCCATTGCGGCGCAGTCTTGTTGTATGTTGACTTGTGATCTATCTGTGCGAGAACTCGCTGCTAATTGTGTTTACAGGCCGGAACCTCCTCGGGGGTGTATTTCCGCTTGTTACAAATGCCATGTTTACTAACCTGGGATATCCAGGAGCGTCTAGTCTCCTTGGCGGGATCGTGAGTCAACATATCTTCCTTCTGCAGGGAGCATTTTGCTGATTCTCACAGGGGTTGCTTCTGACGCTCGTACCGTGGGTACTTCTGTTCTATGGACCAAAAATTCGTGCGAGAAGCAAACTAGCCAGTGTACGTATTCCCTGCCTGCCCCGTAATTTGATCAACGGTTAATATATGCTTATGCTTACTTGTATAGGAATTGGCTAATTGAACCGAATGAGACGGAGCGGCGCGCCAGCACTTATAATAATGTACCAATAATTAAATGTAGCTATATATGTAAGAATGTATTCGTATAGAAGGGTAACCTAGCCGCATATGCTCTTGTATTGCATCTGATTTCTCTGTCTGCATGGACGGTCCGACAGGTTGAACGATCACAGCAACGGTCTCTAAATTACGTATGTTGAGGGATATAATACATTTCATTAACACACGAACTATGATCCAGACCACCGAGCCGTGCATTTTCATCGACGAGATTTCGTGTGGCGGTTTTTCACACTTGAAATATATTGCAATGCCCTGACGCATATTGTACCAAACACAGATTGGCAGTTCCCAAAAACGTTGGCCAGGACAATAGAAGACGAATCAATCTCGAAAGAAAGATGATATAAGGCATGGTTCTGACATCAGATACGTTTAAAAACATCATGGACCGTACCAGTCGTCAGATCCGGGAGAGTGGGCGGGATATAGTTTAAATCGTGAGAACTCTCCCCTCCCGCGACAAGGCCCAGGACGCTTTGCCTCGATCTGTTGTTCGTCACCCTTCCGTCGATTGTGTTTTCAAGAGTCTTTTTAAATTCCTCGTAAGTGGGATTTGCAGGCGAATCAGGTTCAGTGGCCTGCCGGATCTTCTTGAAGACGGCTGTGAACAGTAGAGCCCGCAGTTAGTGACAAGTGATTATCGAAGTAAAAGTTCAGAAATGAGCTCATCGATGGCTGCTTCCTGGCCCGGGAAGGAAGCTGGAGTCACAGAGGCAGCCACATTGTTGATGAATTCCAACAAGATATCCCAGTGCTTTCGGCATTGCCTGTAATCGACGTCCTCCAGCTGGCTACAGTATTTGACGACATCGCCCTGCCAATGTTATAGTGATCCGGGCCCTTCAGGTCCCGCCCTCAGCTCCCGATGTAGGTGGGCGCATTTGCGTAGTTGGTCATATTATAAGCCCCATTACGCCGGGTGGGATCATACACATATGACCAGGCTTTGTTTGGCGGCAGCTGGTCATGACTAGCGCCCAACCGGTATCGCCGCAAATCCCCATAAGAGAAGAGGTGAATTTGAAAAACTGGAACTAGTGTCAGAAACAAAAACACAACATAAGACAGAAAAGATGGAAGGTGAAAGACATACGTGGATTAGGGGAGATATCCTAGCCAGGCACAACGGTCCTGGCGCTTCTTCTTGGAAGCCCATTGCGCGTGATCTTGCCCAACTCAAGCAACGGACAGTCGGACTCTGGGACGACCTTCGTAACAGCCAGGGCATCGACAGAAATTTTGGCCGGGTCAATGATTTGTGCGTAAGCCCTCCACGTAGGGTACTGGCCCTGTTGGATCTCATCGTACAGTCGACAGCTCAGATAGTTGGGATCCTTGCCGGCGATTATAGTGGCCTCGTCTTGGGTGAACCAATCTTTGTCGGGATCGATGGGCGTCGCCAGCACCAACTTGACCCTGACCAAATGGTGATCCCACTCGGTTTCCTGGCTGTTTTCGTTGAGTGTTAGTAAAGCCCCGGTCGAAAATCGTACCAAAAGCCAAGTAGCTTTGGAATTGCCTTGACTATCCGGCTGGACGAAACTGGCATCGGTGTATTTTGCGACGTCCTTGTTGGTCACCACAAATTCTCCGAACACGCCTACACCTTTTGCATGAACCAGTCTGTACCAACGAGAGACTGTATCTATCCTCCCTGTTTCGTTTAAATAAATGACCATTTGGGGATCCGTTCGCGGCTTATATGAGAAACTTGCTTAACGGTGTTGAGATCTTGGACAGCTGAGATCCAAAACGCATACTGCCAATCTTTTTGTCAGTTCTTTCACTCAAAAAGGGATGCTCCACAGGGCAGCCTGGGATGTCAAGTTTGTCAGAGGAGTCTGTGTAAGGGTGGAATTGTGTTAGATTTACCATTGGGTAATGTAAAGTAGCTTTTGCTAACAGGCGGGTCGGGAAGCCTGCCAGCATCGAAATAAGCCATAGTGACATGACCTGTGCAATAATTAGACATGAATCAAACCCGGGAACTAAACCGACGGCTCTTATCTTCGTGGTTAGTCGCAGCCTTAGGCCTTTCGGCAATGGTCTGTATAGCGTACACGCTCTCTTGTGATGTGGTCATTGACGACGAAAACTGTAGTGAACATCCAGTTTCTGCAAAAGTTATTGGGTATAATGTACTATATGCGGTTCGTAAGGATAAAGCTGCCTGCATTGAAGCCAGCCTCTCATATTGCAGCCTTTCCTACACAGCCGGGTTAACATCCTTTCCGTGCCTTAGCAATAGGCCTCAATGTCCTGTGTAACATGTTTTGCGCGGATATAATGCAGCCTGAGCGAGCCACGGCCATTTTTATCGCCGGAATGAATCCAGAGAAATTAGAGAAATAGTCAATTGCGCCTGCGGCATTCGTCCTCTGTCACCGTGAGGCGATATTCAGTCAGAAGTACCTGAATCAGAACTAGCGCCGCTCAGATCGGCATGAAATCACTGCTGTTATGAACCAGGGTGCCGAATGTATTGTTGGAATGCAAGAGCTGGATATCGGTATTACAATGAATTGACCTGGGCTTCCATTTTGCTTTTTCGGACGAGTGAACCATTATCAGCTCCGGATTTCCCTCCCCGTCTCCACGTTGCAGCCCGGATGCACACCTAGAACATCTCCACAAGCTGCAGGATAGCAACTAGTCGGCTGCGGGGACTGACAATTGAGCGAACAATGATTATCGATTGATGATACCCCATCATCTGCTGGGGACTGGAGGCCACTTGAGGCCAGACACAAATCTGTCCGTCCACGTTGTGCATTATGTATGTACTTGTTGCAACTAGCCGGCAACAATGCGACTGCTCATATTTCTACGTACTTCGATGTTGCAACATACCATTGGCAGATTATCCGCAGTACAAATGCCCTGGCGACTGTAGGACTAGAACCAGGCGGGGTTCAAGTTCTCGAAGCCGGATGGAGATCTTGACGCTAGCTATATCAGGTAAGGCTGCCCAGTGGTAGATTAGCACGAGGTACAGGCTATTTTAACACACGACAAATGCTAACCGAATAACTACGGATATGGACCCGTGGAACGGACGAGCGATAGACATCAGGGAGCTTAAAGCGATTGATTCGGTTTGATTCGGATCGGTTCAGACCGGCTGCCGTGTATGGTTAAGCGAGGGCGATCTGTCTAAGCGAAGTGCACTAGTTATTATTTGGCTAAGCGAGGGAATGGATACCCATTGACCGTCGAGTTTGATAACATAACCCCAGCAGAGGAACCTATCCGGGATTGTATATATATTTAGTTCGTGCCAAGAATGCCCCAAAGTCAATCACAATCGTTTGACTGCCGGTTTATCAGGGGTAGATTGAGAGTATACTCGTATATAAAAACCTTTAGTTGAGGTCATTGGGATGCTATTCCAATTCCCGCACCGAGCCCCTGACACCCGTTCAATGACAATGCGTCTCTTGTGGGCTCTATCTTTATTCTCTACGCTGCCAGCGTGGGCAGCCACCAGCGGGGAGTTCAATGTCTTGTCGTTCAATGTGGCTGGTCTTCCCGCGGTTTTCAACACCAATGGCGTTTCCGGCAGTAAGACGACAAATACTGAATTCCTTGGGTCGAAGTTTGCACAGTATGGATACGACGTGATTCAGGTGCAGGAGGTAAGAGTCCCGGCGTTTCTCTTTTAGATCAATCGACTCAGCTGACGACGAACCAAGGATTTCAATTACCACACTTATCTCTACAAAACCGACAACCATCCGTATCGTACTTCTACATCAGGAGGTGCCGTGGTCGGCTCAGGACTCAACACGCTGTCAAATTATCCCTGGATTGACCTTCAGCGCATCAAATGGGACACCTGCTCTGATATAGCAGACGCAGACTGCTTCACGCCCAAGGGCTTTACAGCTATGCGCATACAGGTCGACGAGGGCGTCTACATTGACTTCTACAATGTCCATGCCGATGCAGGGTGAGTGGTACTCCTAGGATGGGTGATAGCCTGAACTGACTGGATTGATAGGAATACCAAAGCCGATCTGAATGCGAGAAATTCCAACTTGCAGCAGGTTGCAAATCACATTGAGAACCATTCCACAGGAAACGCCGTAGTAGTCACTGGAGACACAAACTCCCTCTACGCTTCGCCTGGGGAGAACATTCGCGTATTCCAAGATCAGAACCTGATGAAGGACTCATGGGTGGAACTCATATTGAACGGCGCAGAGCCTCGAAAAGGCAGTCAACCCGAGAAATGTGATAACCCTACGACAAACGACACCTGCGAAGTGCTTGATAAAATCCTGTACGATTTTGTTTTATTCTTCTTTATTTCATGGTCGGCTGACTGAATATGTTTAGTTATCGTGGTAGTCGCATACTTGACTTGCAATCCACCCACTTCGCGTACGAGGACCGCAAATTCTTACGCGACGGATCAATTTTGTCAGACCACAATCCAATTACCAGCAACTTCACCTGGTCCCTGTCCCCATCTATCCGGCAGACGGATCTTTTTGGAGGGCCGCATGGGTAAGCTTATTGTCAGATTCCCTAGATCCGATGCTGATTGTCCAGAACCTGGTTCAACGATCTGCCCTCAACCCCGGATTCCGCGACGGGCACCGACAAGCCAAACAAGATTTCCCTCCGTGGTGGCGAGCGTCTGGTCGCGGTAGGTCTGGCTCTAGCATCCGGCAAAAAGTACAGCCATGGGGGTCCAGACGGCACACTCCACGAACTTGTGCTGGCCGACAATGAATACTGGACACGGGCCCAGTTGTGCCAGGGTAAGCACAACGACCATACTCGGAACTTTTACTTGTTGGCTACGACTAGTGCTGGGAACACCATTAGCGCTGGCCAGGTGACCGATGACTGTCGGGAATTCAAGGTGGAAAATGGATGGCAGATTGTGGGTTTCTATGGCCAGGATGGCGACGAGATTGACCAGTTGGGATTTATAACTGCTCGAATCTGAGTGCCTGGTCGATTTAAGATACATTGTACTGTGCTTCTATGTATCATGGGTCTGTGTAACAAGATATTCAATGCGTATGTATCCCATCAGGTCTTCTCAGCCGTACAAAACAGTACGCAAGGTACTACCATCTTAGGATGTATTTTCAACATTGGCAGTTCCCGGTTTGATATACGTCGTCCGATGGATCGCCTTCCAAACGACAAAAGCCAAGATGAAAAAAGCGATCATCACATAATCTAGAAAGAAAGTTGTAATGTCCCACAGCCCCGGGAAAAATAGGTCGAATCCTAATATCAGGAGCATGATGCTCGTACCGAAAACCGCGTACCATGCGGCGTAGGGCTGCAGATAGCCCTGATATGGAAGAATATGTCGATCAATTTTTTGCTGACGCATTGCCGCATAGAAGTGCAAATACGTGAGACATGTGCCAAGGTAATTGAGGAGATACGCGGCTGTGATGCAGCTGACCAGCCAGTTGAGAACGGTGGCCGAACTATTATTGACTTGAAGAAAGGCCAGCGCGCAGAATGCCATAGTTACGGCCACCGCGTTGTACGGTAGGCCATAGCGGTTGCATTGTGATAGGACTTTGGGAGCCTTGCCCTCAAGTGACATACCATATAACGTTCGGGCACCGGAGAAGACAAGGTTATTGGCAGCTGAAAGAACAGACGTCATAATCAGGGCGTTTACAATATCCGGCAAGACATTGATCCCAAAACGGTCCATGGATATAACGTATGGCGATCTTCTCGGTTAGTTCTGCCCTGATACGCATGAGAGCCAATACTCACGCTGCACCCGTGCCACTGCCCTCCTTGGTCCCGTCAAGCATATTCTGCAGACTCTGATCGTTGTAAGGAGTAACGATACCAACACAGAGAGCACCCAGGCAAAAGAAGAATAGAAGCCGCCAGAAAAAGGATGCGTAGGCCTGACGCATGACCTTTTGTGGATTTTGCGCTTCGCCTGCTGCCATAGAGATATACTCGGGTCCTACCATTCTGAAGTGGAAAGTCAACAAATGCCGAGAAATACATCTGACTCTATAGACTTACGTAAACGAGGCCTGCACCATACAGCTCATAACTCCCAGGAAACGACCAGTATTCCCCGGAACCAAGTACGAGACGAAGGCCCCCTGCGTTGTATCTCAGCATCTAGAAAAAATGGACGTGGGAAGCATATGGACTCACCGGATCCCTCCAATATCGAAAACCATAGACATCGTGGTGAGGATTGCCACCAACCATGGTAATGAAAGTGTACGCGATCAAACCCACCATAAGGAATACCTTGAAGATGGACAGATAAAACTCCGATATGCCGTAGTACCGAACTGTAAGACCATTCAGGAGCCTAGTAGAGGATTAGTATTAAATTCAACTTTCTCATCGTGTCTATAAGTAAGAATACGCCAGAATTACTATGATGACAGCAACCACTACTGCAACAGGAACTTTGTCCGTCCAATATGTCAAGAGCACGTTGAGCGCGACAATTTCATATGGAAGACCGAGGGCTATGTGCCGTGAGTCAAATGCTTCTTATTTGCTCTTCGCAATGAGCAACATACATACCAACGTTCAAAAAGAAGTTCCATCCCATGGCGAAGCTCAAGGCTTCATCAACCCAGTGTCCTGCCAGTCGAATAAATGGCGATGGGATTGGTCGATAGCAGACTATTTCTCCTATAACGAAAGTCAGGTATAGCTCAGCATTGACTTCCTCAGACGCAACCAACCGAAGCACTGATTGACTGCTAGAATTATAGTCCCGTATGCCATAAAGCCAATGAATAAACCCGCCGGACCACCATGCGGAAGGACAGCCCCCATCTGGACGAACAGTGCTACGCAGGTAATCAGCATCTTCCATACCGGGAGTTGAAATGGAATTACATGTTCCAATAGCTCCCCCCACGGCAAAGAGTTGGACCTCCCGGCTGCGCAATTTTCGATGTAGAGCCTCTGACGAAGGAGCTTCCATATCCAGAGAGCCTTCATTTCGAAAAACTCTTGAGGATCGAGTATCCACGACAGGATAGACCTGCTGTCCTTCAGGCTTACTGGGAAGTAGAAGCATCTTGTTGAGAGTTGAACTGCTGTTTCATCTCAGGGACTTGATGACTTTTGCTCTCGCAACTTAAACCTGATTACTTTGCGCCAACTCCCCCTCTTTTTCATGCATGTGGTAATTAAATTGACAATGCGCCCTAAAGATCAGCTTTCGCGCTAAGAATGATACCGAATGGTAATTGGTTAGGCTGTATTCTCCTGGTTCTCCTAATGCACGCTCGGCCGTGGCTGCAGCGGCGGAGGTGTGATAAAGAGGCTAGACTCACAGAAATACAATGTCTGTAAATAATCCAGTCAACATCATGCAATCATTTGTCTTTCGGAATTTCTGAAACACAGCAAAAATTTTTGTCCACCCACGTACACAGAAATGGACATTCAATCACTCTACCCACTAGTCTATCTAATAACTGCAACGTCCACCTCAGCCCCTGGTCAGTTTGGCGGCCTGTTCATGTTGGCTGGCTATCACGTGAGGTGGGGTTTTTTGCTTTGTTGATGATTGTAGCATTACCTTCTTTCTTTCTTCGTGTCAATTATTCTCGTCGACAGCTACCTAGGTAGAACCCATGAGATTGATATTCCATTATCCTGGCTGAGCACTCCGTGACACGTAGGACATTTGCTATCCGTATGTTGTAGATTTTTTATATTCATAATCAATATATTCATTCAAAACTCCGCGAGGAGCTGCTCTGTCTAACCCCTATAGTTCCTTTCCATCGTCACTTATAAAGCATTCTTGATAGCTGTGACATCTGTCTGGCGGTCATTCTTGGTAGATCTCGACAATATCGAGTTCTACCAGCCCCAGCCCTCCAAATCACTGGAACTGGGACCAGCTCGTTCTACCCAGCCCGTTCTACTGCCTCCTTTCCTTTCCGTTGCGGCTGCCTGCAAAGCCCTCCCTCGGGACGATGGCTTTCTGCTTCTTGCCCGCTCTTATGGGGAGCATTCTGCATGTGGCCCTGCGAGACCGAATTCGTTCGATGTCGAGTTGACCAAGTTCGCGAAAACAGAACCACAGGTGATGGACTCGCGTACGGACAACAACCTCTCACAGCGAGGAAACGGCAATGTGATTCTGGATGCTGCCACACTTTGTAGGTTTTCAGGTCTTGGTGTTTTGTGTTAAATCGTTTCACTAACCTTCAACTTGCAGCCCCAACTGCGTCTCTTCCCAGCTTCGATGAGGGGACAGATCTGGCTGGCCGCTCCGAAGGTACAATAATCCGACAAAGTATTGAAACCCCCACAGAGACCGAGGGTTATATATCTACTTAACCTCCTGTTTTGCGGAATAATAATTCGGGTAAGCGCTTTAAAAATGTGTACACCTACCCCGTATAATATTCTGATTAATTAATTAATTATTTTTTTTTTTTTTTTTTTTTTGCATCTCCACCCTCGATCGCAGTGGTAATCCCACCACCGCCTCGACGCAAGCCGTCAGTGGTGGCCCAAAGACAAACTTCTGAGTGTCAGAACCGGCAACGCGGCGATGATGGCTCTCGGCGCTCCAGCCGGTCTAGTAAATTAGAACCCAGGGTGTCTCAACGTCACTCAAAGAGACAAAGAATCGTGACCCGCTCCATGAGAGAATCCAGTAAACGTGCACTTTCTCTGCATTCCGCCGGGTCACCAACTCGCCCAACACAGTCAACGCCAGATTTACCGCATCTGTCACCGGCAGGCCACTATAGCACTCGAGACATTGTTGGGCGAGCTATCCTTACTATTGACTCTTATGGTCCGCAACAGGAATATTTTTTCTCATTCATCCCAATTTTGCCCAGTCAGCTCAACACACTATCACTACAATCTTCTTCCCCCAAGGAGCCAGCCCTGCCTGTCAGCCTTTCGTGTGCACCTGCTGCTAGCAACCCTAAGAAATCTGTGAAAAAGAGGCCTTATTCATCTGCAGAGGATCTCTTGGTTAGCCTAAAAGCCACAGGGAGTATGGATTGGGAGGAAGTTGCGCAGCATTTTCAGGACAGAAGTGCAGGAGCACTTCAAGTACATTATTCTACAAAACTCAAGCATAAGGCCGCTAGCTGTCGTCGCAGGCATCCAAGAAGTTCCAGAAAGAATGTTTAATAGTCAATTAACATATGATCAAAATGAGACGAAGACCAGGGATCAGAATTAGTACTGCTGTAAAGCGAGGACCTGTGGTGTGTGATGAAAGTCAAGGTGGATTAATAGTTGGTCCGATTACCGAGGCCGACAGACCTCTCATATACGGACACACACACTCATTCGGTTTAGATAGCCAATCACTCGTTCCATCACCTTTGGGTCTATAGAGATCAATGTCATCCTCCTTGTGTAATTAAAATTCGTCGCCTATAGCCTCGTGCAGTCCGGATAATCGACTCCCCCGACTTCCCCGATACGGACTTTTAACCGCTACATTGGTTTATCCGTTTCAGTGTGGATTTTGTTTCACGTGTGATATCACAGAACAATCGCACAAAGCAGCGACCGAAGGGCTCAGAGGGCGGGTGACAGGGCATAACCTCACCCGATCTGCAGGCGACTTGAGGTGATTACAGCAAATCTTCTCTATAGCGAGATATAGGAAGAAGCCCGAATTTCTCATAACATAGGGGCTCTCACTATATTGAAACTATACAAGAAAGTAGCTTCTAATGTAACCACAATTACCACCCTGTATCATCCATATCCAATCCTTTATCTACACCACAAGCAGCCATCCCACAACACCGACCAGTGTGCAATGAGGAAACAGGCCATTAAGGTGACCGAACCATATCAGTTTTTACACACCAGGTATAGAGACAGTCTAGGGGTATAGACGATTAGTATATCCTCCACCCCCAATGAAGACATTAGTACGTACGACCATAAAGCGAGGGAAAGAGAGGCTCCCTGTGCGTTCAGCCATACAAAAAGTCATTTCTGCCTGTTCTTGTTGCCGCGCTAAGGATGATAGCTGGGCGCAGGTGATTGAGGCGATGCCTGTATACTGGAGGCCCTAAGGGTGCCTGTTGGGGTTGATAAGCAGACAAGGCTATGATACCGCAGAGAAGAGCAGTGATTGGGTAGTTTGCATCTATGTAGTGGCCAATAACAACATCGGATTGGCCGGGCATTGCCGCTGTGTGCTATGGGCGCTAAGCAAAGTCCAGGGCACATAAAAATAGACTTCCCCGCAGGTCTCTTCGAAATCCCTTTGTCTCTCAGACAGGATTGCATATTCAGGAGTCAGGACTCCATTATTTAGACAGCGCAGAGACCGCCGTGTTGCATATTTCGTGCCCTCCAAATTTTTGACTAACTGAAAGTATGCCAGACGCTACAAACGCCGAGAAGCAGCCCAGGCCCATGCTTCGTTTGAGACCCGAGGCTCTAAATAGGCCAAACCAGATCCGGGTTTCGAAGCATCCACGCGACGGGCCATGGATGCCGGACGCATCTTCTCTCGAGGGAGAGGCAAGGAGCGCTCCCCACGGCGACGGCCCAGTGGGAGTCACCATGGAAGAATACCGGGCTTCCTTCAAAGAGAAATCAGCGCGGACGCTCAGCACACTCAAGGAGCTTAAAACAGCGAAGAGGCTCAATGAGGTCGAAATTAAATCTGTCGTTATAATGTGGCCGCCAGTTGATATGATGCGAATAAATGGCTGGACTGAGAACGAGATTGAGTCGGCCTTAGAGAAATACTATGTTGGTGCTCAGCTGTACATGGCCCCTGCCTGAATGACTGTTATGCGGTCTTGCGACGCTAACTACGCAAAGTTATCTCACGCCCAACAATGTCGCGAGTCCTATGATGATCGAGCGGTTTGGCGCTGACTGGGGACAGAACGCCCGAGGTATCTACTACCGCCATCATTATTCTCCGAGCTGGGTCACGTTGGATTGGAACCTCTGGATCCCGTCACTTGATGGCATTGATTGGAATCATTCCAGCGAGGCCAGTCGCCGCTCCAGGGCAGAAACGTTCCTCAAGCATGTTCTCAACAATGAAAGATGGAGGAAGAGTGAATATGCATGGGAAGCCGACGCCTGGACAGATGTGTTTGGCCAAATGAGAAATGATCCATCGCTGGCTGTGTAAGTAGCATGCTCCCCTCCTGTTACGGCCCTAGCATCTAATCCGATGATGCCTAAGAGATAAACACGAATACAATGCAATCAAGATGAAAAGGGACCCGGTATCATGTAAATTAGCCGGTGAACCCAAATTAATCAAGAGAATTCCAGATGCAACTTTCGGGCTGGCGACCTTCAAACCGGCGGACTACCAGAGTGCCCTAGCGGAATGGGATCTTGATCAGGACCGGCTTCAGGCGCTCCTCCTTCATAGACATTGTGGCCTTATTTCTGACCCACACTGGGGCGGCACGGACCTTGCATTCCCTTTCGCAGTCTATGAGGCTAAGGGTTGGAGCGGCGATGCTCGGGAAGCACGCCGACAAGGGTGTTCCGCGGGGGCAGCTTATCTTGATATGCTGGACAGTCTGGCACGGAAGCCAGGGAAAGTTGGCGAGAAGAACAGAGTATATCAATCTGCAGGGGCTCGCAACAACCAAGTTTTCGTCTTTACCTCATTTGGAGCCCATTGGCATATCCTGGTGGGCTACAAGAGACCACGGCAGGAAAGAGAGTATGCCGGACATGAAGGGTTCACTGAGTCCGTTTATGTAAGTCTGGCCAACCTATTAGCTTTATTGACAAAACTGACCTTGAAGTTCTAGGTTTTTCAGAGACTCTGGAGCGGCCGTGTCGTGACAATACGGAAAGCTTGGGAGCTCTTATCACTACTTGATCAGATACACCTCTGGGGTGTCACAGATTTCCGAAGCTCCATTATCCAATGTTTGAAACAGTGGCATGAGTTTTCGAGGATGTGCTATGCCAATGATGTTAGGTTTTTGATCAGAGTGCTCAAAAAAGATAGATTCACGCACGATGGAAAAGAGTATCTGTTACAGCCTGCGGCGTCCCTGCAGTTAGCTGACTGGACTAAGCATGTCACTAACGAAGCTCGTGAAAAGTTACAGAAAAGAGCTATATTCCACTTCCAGGAATCCTTCCGAAGAGACTTTCCGGCCCTGAGCCATAGTTGGCCAAAAAGTGTCACCTGCCTGCTAGACGATTGTGGCCCAGAGGGAAATCCGGGATATCTCCTGCTGTCCAAGGAAGAAATGGCAGAGCACTATCGCGAGATCCACGGGCAAAATGATGAACAAATAGCATCGCTCGAGCACCGTTGGGATATGGAAGAGTCTGTCAACGGCAGCAGCAACAATACGCTTCAGATACACGAGATACATCAGCTACAAAAGCGTAAGCGTGAGAGACCAGGGAGTGGAGAGCATGGGTCATGTACAAAACGCTTCAAAAGTTTAATTGTCGAGGATATTGGTAATATTTACGACGATTGTTTTATCGATCTGACTGAAAATTAACACGCTCGGGCGATGACAGCCAGGAAATTCCAAGCAGCCCTACACAGGTGGAAACTGGTTAACTGGCTGGAAAATGGAACTGGAAAAGACAACAATGATTGATTGATTAACTCCCTACCAAAGAGATGAGAACGAGAGATATTTATGCAACGAGGGGGGTGTCACAACCTAGCTTCTCTTCGTATCGTAACCTAAGGTTCTAGTTAGTTAAGTCTCAGTTGGGGCACTCACCTGAGTGTCCTTCGTCGTCGTCGTTATATCGATTAGAGTGTCACTCGGGGCGGGGTGGGGCGGGCTTTGGCAGGCGATGCCCCGCCCCAGCGGGCTTTGGGGCGGGGTGAGCCATAACCCTTCCCGCCCCAAGGCCCCGGTGGGTTGGGGCGGGTTTTGGCCCAAAACCCCGAGACTCTCCAAACTATACCCAATCAGTCGATCGGATATCGCACTATTCCAACCATGGTTAGTTTGGGGCAGCTAACGGGGCGGGTTTCCCAGCCCACCCCGAATTCTCAGTAATTTTTGTATTCAGAACATGATTACTCGATAGTTTACGCAGCCATGTATAATTACAGCCAGATTACCATATTGAAATACATCCTCGTGCGAAGGTCTAAGTTGTTTATCATTGCAACGGTCGCAATATACCACAAATATCATGGATAAATCACTTTGAAATCATATAGACCCTCATATCGGTCCATAAGTAATAGCAACTTGGAAGCATTACAAGCCTGAGCAGATATTCGGTTTGAACACTGTACTCCAGAGTATATAGCTCGAGATATATATATATCACTAACGCAATTCCCATGTATACACTACTCCATGCAATCACATTCTAACCATGGTGAATGACATCGTCACATCTTTATAAAATGCTATTCCGTATATGTTTTAATCGAAGGAACTAATACGAAAGGAATGTAAGATGTCACAGATTGTATGTAGCATTCTACAGACTACAGCTACAGTAACAACTACTTCTCTTGTGTGCGTGTCCTCCGGTTGCAAGTCTGCAACCGCAGCATACTCTGTATGTAGTTAGCCTCTGGGCATTACATAATCCACACCAGCCAATCATATTTAATATCATTACAGTGAATATACCACCTACGGAGGGTCTTTCGAATGAAAGAGAAATAAAACTCATACAACTGGCTTTTTATTATATCGCTCTGGTCAGTGAATACACAAAGAAGCTATAGGCATAAATACTACCTTGAGAAATTCTCACCATGCTAAGAGACCATCTTCCTTTCTTATATCCATTTTTCCAGAAATCGGCTGTTTTGTGAAAAGT